CTCCCCCACATAGCTTGCTTCCCTGCCCCCTCCTGTAGCTCTCCGCAGCCCACTTGTACCTCTCTGGCCCACCCTCCTGCTGATCCGTGATCTGGTCGTAAAGTCCTTGGTCATTATGCCTCAGGGCGTAACAGCTAATTAGCATATTTCTCTCTTATTATATAGGATACTTTTTAAAAAATATATTTTTATCGATTTCAGAGAGGAAGGGAGAGGGAGAGAAGAGAGAGAAACAACAATGATGAGAGAGAATCATTGATTGGCTGCCTCCTGCACACCCCACACTGGGGATCAAACCCACAACTCGGGCATATGCAAGTTATTTGGAAGAAAAGACTAGCTATGTTAGGTAACAAACCCTTGGAAAAGGTCCTCAAAGGAAGTAGCTGAATTTTTAAAAGACTTTCCTGAGTATAATAGGAGATTATTGATTCATCTGTCTAAATGCTAAAAATCATGCAAATAATGGGATTTTTCTAAAATAATTTTAAATGACTGCTTATTTTAAAAATCACAGTATATATTTAATAAGTTTCTATAGCCACAGTGTGTAAAAACAATGCGATCTGTCAGCTTGTGTAAATATATATTATATATATATCCCTGCTGGTGATCTTTAGAATGAAAAAGAAAAGCTAAGTATATATTGAGAAGAAGTTGGGAGTTGGGCAAAACTTTTTCCAATCATTGTCCTTTTTAATTCTTTATTATCTCTTTTTGATGTCAAGCTCTCCAATCTCTGAAAATATAGTTAACCCTGAATAAGTTACCCTTTCCTACATAAATGGAGCAAACATTTATCTAGGGTGGTTAATTTATAATATCCAGATAGAAATGGGAGCGAAGCCGCTGCCTCCTGAGATTCCAGCCAGGTCTGTAACTGAATGATGGCTTTCAAGGGCTCCTAAAGAGTTAAGCCTTGTCATCCACATTTTGTATTAAAACACTCCACTGTTCTAGGACTAACTCCACTGTCCTACGACTCTGCCCTTTAGTGTAGGGATGTGTTAGAACTATGTAAAAACCCCAGGCACGTCTGAGTTTTAGCATCTTTTACAAAGACTCAGTGCTGAGGGGTTGTCCCTCTCACATTTGGAGGAGCCACCTGAAATCAGCAATAACTACAGTATTAACTTTGCTCAAATGTCTGCCTTCCCAAGACATGCCACTTGCTTAACTGATAGTGAGCTGACCCAGGCCCCTCACAAAAGCCTGGGTTGTTGATCGTCTGTTCCCAGGAATAGTTCTCCAGCCACTGAATTATGCACATTTCTGTTGAGAGAGGTCACTGCAGGTCCCAGCAGTGACTCACTGTCTCCACCTTCTCCCTGTTCTCAACCATCCTGGGCTTGATAGAAAGAGAGGGAATGACATTTTTGAATGTCGGAAACAAAGTCATGAAATAGTTAGGACTGGAGAGTGTGCAGAGATGGATGGACTCTCACCCTGAAGACTGAGGAGTGGTTAAGAACAGGAATTTTAGACTCTTCAGGAGAGCTTTGTAGGAGATGGTGTATGAGGGCTGGTGGGACTCTGCCTTGCCTGCTTCTGCCCTTCAAATGCATCTTATTTTGTTCCATCTGTGTCTGCGATGGCCCAGGGAGCTGATGCAGTCACT